GAATTGTTGAGATATAAACTAAAAGTGCTCTCATAGTGCTGTAACATATGTTATTCATTGTATGGTTAAAAGGAGTGTAAATAAAGTTTGTTGTTACTCCTTCCTTTCCCTTCTGAAACAGGAAGAAGAAGCTGAGCTGATACCGGAGAAACTGACGGAAGCAAAGCACAGAGGGATTGTTACGGGCAAATGCAAATATTACAAGTTTTAGAATGAAATGTTGTATTTCTTAAACTGTGTACTTTGTCTTTAAGAGATATTGCAAACTGACAAGGTGTTAGACATGGAACATTGTTTTTCATAACTGTTTCTTTAAGCAATAACCTCAGTGCATAATATGTTTGCGCATTTTGTCCCAGACGAATTACAATAACAATAATGCATAAACAAGCTTCAAGGCTTTGCTACGACTCTTGCAGTACACAATATACTGTGGTAACCCCAAGTTAATGGAACTTCCCCAAATCCGGGAATCTCCCACGACTGTACACTTACGACTTAGTATAAACAACATATAACCTATTCAGACTTTAAGATGCCATCTTGAACTAAGTCAGGAAAATTTCCATGACGTATGCACCCTTTAGTTATGGCCTTGTATGTTTGCCAAGTTTAGGGAGGTCCTAAATTGAATAAAGTAAAAGAAGTGTTACTTTTTCATATTTGAACTACAGTAACCTAAAATGGAGACATCTGAGGTATAAATAGGTGTACTTTTAAATGTTAAGACACAGAGGAGAGACTTGGAGACAGACGCTGCTCCATCTTAAAATGACAGAGAGGCTGACATGATGACATGTTCAGAAGGGTATGTTAACCTATTAATGATATTTGCAAGCATGTAATTTAATCTTATAAACTCTGCTATAATGGATTTTATATTTATATTTTTATATAATAAATATCCAAAAAGACAAAACTATTGCTTCCAAGACAATCCTTATTTTATATTGTATTCTCAATTATTTATATATGTTAAATAGAGGATCTCTTACACTACATAAAATTATGGCTAAGATATCTGTATGGTTAGCCCTACTAAGTTCTATGCTTTAAGACATTATAGTGGTAAATAAGGGAACCACACACGGTTACAATTGGCGACCACGAAGGGACTTTGTACTTGGAAGCTTTAAATATAAAATAAATACCTAGGTAACCTCTTATACGTAAGAGAAGACACAATACTTTGTCATGGCACAAGTCTTGAAATATCAAGAATCTATTGAGCTACTTGTAGCCCAGACTCAGAGAGAGATCATTAGAGATGATTTTAATGTGAACAAGGCACTGTGAGTTTAGGTGCCAGGTACAACGTAATTAGCATACAATGCTGAAATTGTGGATCTTAACTAATATCATAATAGAACAAATGCCTAATACACCAGCATAGCATAGCCCGTTAGTTCCAGGACAGTGGATTGCAGACAGGGGGATATGTTCTCTTTGTAGCTGCTTAGTATGCATGCGCAGGAAAAAGATTAATGCAAAATGTTGTCAAAAGAAAAGTGATAAGACTGAGCGATGAAATTTGAAGTCTAATTCCAAGAATGCAAAGAAAATTGCATTATGGCTTAATGAAAACATTCATGCAACAGACAGACAGGATTTTTAATTATTGCATTACTGCGTTCTGGATTCTAATGTCCACTATATAAGAAAGGTTTTAGAAAACAGTGATATTTTCCATATTGTCAGTTACGCTAGCTGTTGATTGAAAATCAGGAATTATAACAGCATAACTATTTTTGGAGTCTGGAATTTCCAGCCAAGGTTGCGGAGATAGAGACATGTAAACATTCCAAGGAATTGAGAAGTCGTTGTTTTATATTCCAAATTATGAACAACATTATTACATACAGCCATAAAGAAAAATACATGGCTTTTAAATACATTCAGTGCAGTACAATGCAATACACTGCAGCATGTATTTTATATAATATATGCTAACTAGCTCATATTTTTTCCTAAACAGAGTTGAAATTATACTACCCTCCTAGAAAAAAGGGCAACAGGTGGTTATACACCCTTTGCTTCTCTAAATGCTCTGCAAAAATAAATATTTATAAAATGATTAAAAATAATATATACGTAAGATAAAGCGGGGCAAAATAAAATGGTAACTATACCGGATCTCTGATAACTTTTAAATTGAAATTATTAAAGGCTTATTTAAATAAAATGTTAAATACATTTACAGCTTTAAATGTGACCAAAAGATATTAAATGATGTGTTAAGCAGCCAGCCCAATTCACTGGAATAGCATAAGTATTCTACTATTTAAAGTGCACAATTCCTGCACATAATGACATTGCTTACTTAGGTACAGTATTTAGTCTATTGCAATGGCAGTAAAGTCCACCAATTTTAAAAGGGAAAGCTTACTTAAATCAGTGGTACTATCCCCGTACTAGCAGTAAAGAAATTAGAACAATTATATTGTACTACTGACTGTAATCAGATCAGACACATGTAATCTCAGTGAATTTCATAAACTAGGTTTTTATAAAATACGATTAAATAAATAAAAGTATATAGACTAGGCAATAACAGCAGTTACATGCATTCAGCAGCCTGCTCTCTCAGAGCCAGAAACGGATTAAAATTAAAAAATTAAAAAGTAGGTTTTAAAAAGTCCACAGTCAACCACACATGAAGGGTGAAATAATTGCTTCTTTAAAAGCTATATGCTGCCGCAATTATGTATATAAATACTGATTAGGGCAAAGAGTAGAAATAAAAATACAGTTTTAAATCTCATATATGGGGATTCAGTTCCACCACATATTCTACAATTCTGAAAGAGGCTAATTTTAATAATATGTTGTAAGAGCACTGTGAATATATATAATGCAAAATTAATTTGATATTGCAAAGCCTGCAATATTCTAAACAGACATTAAACTTAAAAAAAAAAAGAAAAATAATAATGCATAAAAAAATGCAGTGTCAATTAAAGTGATAATACTCTGATATATTAAATCACATTGCATATCACATATCTGCCAAATGAAAAGTATAATTAAAGTGACATTACTGTCCAAAGCCCCCTCACATCTATTTTATAGAATCTATACTTTTTTGTGGTCACCTCCAAAGAAGCCTCTGAAATTGGGGGGCTCAGAGGGGTGCTCATCCCAAAAGAAATCAGATTCCAGACTTAAAGAAAAATAAATGATAGAAAAGGAATCACGGGAACACCCAGAACATGCATTTTTTGTATATAATCTTAATTTGCAGATATTTTATGCCTTAAAGACATAATTAAATATTTAGACATAATTTAATTAAATATGCAGGTATCTGTAAAAATCAAGCAATGTTAAAAATAAATAAATAAATAAATAAATAATAATAATAATAAATATATTTTACACCACAATATAAACAGCTTTGTTAAGCAGATTCAAGTACAAGTACTTATGTCAAGAAATATACGGACACCATTACAATATTGCTTTGCCAATTGATGTCAGAGCTTTAAAGAATAAATGAAAAAAAATGTTCTATAGCTCACTAGACTGCTGGCTTTTAATGAACAGTTTGCATGACACTTATAAAATAGTTTGTTATACTGCACATTATAGCTGTGACAACATGACACACATGGTAACAATGCTATGTCACTGTTTAATAGACTTACCCAGTATTTAAGGACGACATGTTTCTTGCAAAGTCATCGGGACTTTGAGGGAGGTTCTAACTACGTTTAATTAATTAATTAACTTACTAAAGAAAAAGAAAAAAAGAAGGTTTTGTTTTTCCCCTGCAAGTGAGTTTTCAGCGCAAGGTCATTTTGTGTTCACAGACTATTCGGTTTTAAAAAGCTGTTCTTTATCTTACATTATGAACGGCCTTGTAATTCCTATGCACACTAAAAGTTGGCTTTTAAATGTTATTGTTTTAACTTTAATATTTCATAGTTAATACAGAGGATAAAGTAATATAAAGAAAGTATATTAATTGATAAGATTTCATTTATCTATTTTGGTCCACTGTTCACTGATCTCGAATCTCAGTCTGGTGTTCAAACAGTTTTTCTTACGATACATCGTGAGTTTATATCCACAACTGCATTTTGCTTTGTGGTAACAAATTGAAAGCCTGGCATTGTAATACGTGTATGGACATGCTTATAACAAAGCATGGGCCCTCTCCTCATGTAGTTGGTCATTAACAGGCACTTTGATGCAATGTGTCTACCAACGCTTTTCTGTGGTCACTGCATCACATCGCATACCCTATCTCTCTGTCATGATGCAGAGTTTATGCTTGCAAGGATATCCAGACCTTATCCACCTGGTATCCGTATAAATACTCCTATCGTTTAGAGGGGTTTGTTTACATAATAACCATTGAAGGTAATATGTTGGTTGTTCTTCCTATAGAGGAAAGATGGACTTGCCCTAAAAGCTTTTTTATGGCTAGGACAAGCTCTTATAGAGAGAGGTAATGTACTTCTGACTCCTGAAAAGGAATATTGGTGGTCACAATATGGGAAATACTGTAATTCATGTATTTAGTAATCATAAGCATTTGCTTATTGCCACATTACTGATGTACTGTTTATTGAAATATTAATATCTAACGTACTTTTTGGATTACTATATATTGGAAGTTTGCCAACATCTCATGGTTATAAATATGTTTTTGTATGTGATGATGCATGTACCAGGTTTACTTGGATATATCCTGTGCGAAGTGCAACCTCTGATGCCACGTTTTCTAGTCTCACTTCCTTAGTATGCATTTGATAATCCCAGGACCATCCATTTGGATGGTGGTCCTGCAGTTACTGCAAAGGAAACCTAAAACTGGGCAACCACATTTGGGTTACTTTGGGATTTCAGTGTGCCAACCACCCCCAAATAAGTGGGGTTGTGGTCTGGGAGAATGCTGAGGTTAAATGATTATTAACCAAGTTACTAGTTGCTTGCCCCACACAGTGGTATCTATTTATTCCTATGGTACAGATGAACATTCACAACTTCAATACCTGATGATACAAATGGTGAGACACCATATGAAATGTTACATGTTTTTCCACTGACAAACATATTTCTGCACCAGGGAGAGCTTAGAACCATTGGTTCTATTAGAGAAATTTAGGGAATTTTTTTTCCAGCCCACCTTGCCTTGCACCACCACCTATTTTCTTCTGTTGGCCAGTTTGTCCTGGAGAGGGTGATACCGAGAACTTTTACTACAGAGAACAATCAGAGCCAACAGAGAACAGTAAGTTTTGATATTTTACAACCTGCTAAATATTAACAGGACATTCACAGAACCACTGACTGACACAATGGATGCTGTTAAAGATGGCAAGATAAAACAAACAGAGGACGACAGAAAAGCCACCAGAATCATAGACAGACTGAATCGTGATCTGACATCTGAACCTGCAAATGTGAAGGAGAAGGATGAACAGACAGACGTGATACATTCACAGTTAACATGGAATGTATGAAAATGAATCATCAACATCATTATAAGAAAGACTCTGGAGAAAACAGACTGAACCTGAATTATCTTACACAGTAAGAAAGAAATGCAAAGATGGAAGCAAAAGGATGCTGGAAAACTGGTTATGGTGTCTCCTTCCTACAATCTGCAGCCTACAATGATTGCCTACACTGGTATTTCACAAGGAACCTATTAAGATCATTCCAAAAAAACGATTATACACGAGAAACATGTGATTGGACTATTACAAATCCTAATAATGGAATCAACGACGATGGCAAAGCATGCTGGAAACAGAAAAAGACGGGAAAGATGCTTATGAAAGACTTTGGATGCACCTATGAAGGTGATGCAAGAAAATACTTTGCCATACAGTTTATCATTGAATGACTACCGTAGACAGCCTTCTTATGCTGAAAAGAAGTGCTATGCTAATTCTGGACATTGCTATTATCCAGACAGAAGATGACCGGAAAAAGAAATTAAGGCTGATAACTGCCAACACCCAGCTGTTTTTCAAGATGCAGCATGGTACTTACAAAACCAGATTGACTATCAAAGCACCTCACAGTACAAGACACAGATTGTTAACTACAACTCAGAAAAAGTGGTTTATAGGAAGGAGCAGAAGAAGAGGAATATAGATTTCCTACTGGAGAGAAAAACAATCCTGGAACAATATTCTGCAACAATGAACTTTACAATGACATTTGGTGGCATATGAATTTGAATTCGGAAGAAACACATCAATTAACAAAAGAAACCTTGATGCAATTAATAAATAATAACAATACCGGCCTACTAAGAGCAGATACCCTGCCAAGAGAATGGAATATAAAAGGCTGGCAAAACCTTTCAGAAACCTGAAATCATAGGACACTTGTACTAAAGCACGATTTGCAGCTTTTCTTAAATATTATGTACATACCTGAAAAGCAAGGAACTCCTGTAAACATAAACACAGTGACATTGATACAACAAGGAATCTGTAATGGTTCTGTTGCAGATGTGATCTACTGTCGTACTCCTTGCTCTTTTGGTATAACTATACCAATCAAAATGTTAAATGGCTCCATAGAATCAAACGACAAAGGATTCTTGCTATATTCTGGACTTCCAGGAATGTGGTGCATGGACCGAAAATTATAATTACTAAAGCAATCATGCTATTTTTTTTCCCTGTATCAGAAATGTGTCAGTGACAATGTGTAATATAATACAGATACTATAATTAATGGTATAAGAAACACATAATGTGTTAATTACAAAGGTGGATAGACTTTGTGAATATCTGAAACGCAATTGAAGATTATTGCTAAAATGCCATATGCAGCTGCAGTCTGGCCTACAAACAAATATATTAAACTTGCGTATAAGAGCATAACAGCTAATTACCAAGATGAATAATTGAATCATGATAGTTAAAGATCATATGATTGCAATAACAACTGCAATAATGAATAAGGTTTAAACTTTAGAAGAAATATAAATGTTCTTATTAAAACAGAAACTACTCGATATTCGTTTAAGTTTGCAGAGTGGTATAATTAATATAAGTGAAATACTTCAACAGTTAAAAACAGTTAGGACAGGCAGAAACTTTACTTCAACTATCATAAAGTTTATTTATAATGATAAAAATATTCAGTCTGCCAGAGCTAAGGCCAGTCAATGGAAAGTAAGAGAATATTATGGATTAACCCGTCCAGGTGATACACATGATGATTTTGGAAATTGATAATTTAGGTCACCTATTGCAAACTGGTGAAAAGATGTCAAAGATATAAATTCAACATCCATACCACTCTATGTATATATATTAAAATACACGTAATCAAATATTTTATCAGTTTTTCAAATACAAAGAAAATGTAATTTGGTTTGTAATGGTTAAAGGTACATAAACCACCTATACAAAGGTAGAGTTAAAATATAAATACCTTCAATATTGTATCGGAGTGCTTTCTTAACTCACTTTTAGAAATAATAAAAATTCTAATCATCTTAAGCTACACCCAACAGCCGCTGAAAAATATACTTAAACAATTAAGATTCACATTGTTAAGCATCCAATCTCACGAATGTAGCTTTCCACAATGGTTGTCAGATCTTGGTTTAAAAAAAAAAAAAAAAAAAATGTTTTGAAGACAATTTTGGGGTGTTTCTGGTATAAGCCACTAATAACTGTAGTTATTATATTTACTAATAATAACTAGGGAATAAGTAGTCTTCTCCCTAACAGGTCAAAGAAAGATAATTAACGTCATATTTCCAATTAGCAACTATTCTAAATATATTGAGAGATTTTGAATAAAAGAGTATTTTTAACATTTAAAGAGAATGTAATTGTACATACCATTGTGAACAAAGGTGGTAAATACTTTGCTGCTTCAAATTATCCTTATATCTCTAAATCCTATACAAGGGTGTTTATCTTTAAAACAAAACACTAGAGAGATTAACTATGTTACTATTTCATCTATCATTATTATACAAACTATAACAAATGTAAAGATTTTTCCACAGATTTTACCTGTTAACATTTTTAGCACAACAGCACCTGATGTCATTGAGATGTCTATCACTGAGATGTTACAAAGATTCCAATACAGCAAAAAGAGGTGTTCCTGAGAATCCACTTCGATTGCTGTATCAACATAACATTTACTATAACGGGATCCATGTCACTTAAGACAATGTCTTGGAAATGCTGTCAATTAATTTATTCCGTAAAAGAATATCAGAGAGTATCCAATCTATACACATCATAAACGGTGTAAAAATGTTTCATGGAAAAAACAAACAAAATAAAAAGCAGAGACAAAAGGCAAAGACAAATACCAACGCCATCACCACGGTGATAACAGATGATGCTGATTCAATATCTGCAACCACTTCTATCCAAATACTTGGAAAGCTGGACTCTACAACCTATACTCTACAACAAATACCCGGGTATTCTACAAACACAACCTCCAGCAATGTATCTAAGGAATGTAAACTTCTACAGGCCTTTAAAGACTTTGGATTACAAATACAATTACTACTTTTAACTTTGGATTACAATTCGTATCCGGATCTATCCAAGAATATCTTACTCTGGAACTTGGTGTTCTTTTCAATTCTTTCCCAGACAAAAGCTTTGCTCATTTTAATCAACCACCTTTACAGGCAAAGATCACACTATGGATATTTTACTGTTACAACAATGATCTAAGATGCTGGGAGCATAAAAAACCTAAAGACAGTTGGAGAACTTTGGTTTACTAATTTAAGGAAGAAATGCGCTACAATGCCCACAGTTTAATGGAGAGGGTGTTACGGGCAAATGCAAATATTACAAGTTTTAGAATGAAATGTTGTATTTCTTAAACTGTGTACTTTGTCTTTAAGAGATATTGCAAACTGACAAGGTGTTAGACATGGAACATTGTTTTTCATAACTGTTTCTTTAAGCAATAACCTCAGTGCATAATATGTTTGCGCCGTTTTGTCCCAGACGAATTACAATAACAATAATGCATAAACAAGCTTCAAGGCTTTGCTACGACTCTTGCAGTACACAATATACTGTGGTAACCCCAAATCCGGGAATCTCCCGCGACTGTACACTTACGACTTAGTATAAACAACAGATAACCTATTCAGACTTTAAGATGCCATCTTGAACTAAGTCAGGAAAATTTCCATGACGTATACACCCTTTAGTTATGGCCTTGTATGTTTGCCAAATTAAGGGAGGTCCTAAATTGAATAAAGTAAAAGAAGTGTTACTTTTTCATATTTGAACTACAGTAACCTAAAATGGAGACATCTGAGGTATAAATAGGTGTACTTTTAAATGTTAAGACACAGAGGAGAGACTTGGAGACAGACGCTGCTCCATCTTAAAATGACAGAGAGGCTGACATGATGACATGTTCAGAAGGGTATGTTAACCTATTAATGATATTTGCAAGCATGTAATTTAATCTTATAAACTCTGCTATAATGGATTTTATATTTTTATATAATAAATATCCAAAAGACAATCTTGCTTCCAAGACAATCCTTATTTTATATTGTATTCTCAATTATTTATATATGTTAAATAGAGGATCTCTTACACTACATAAAATTATGGCTAAGATATCTGTATGGTTAGCCCTACTAAGTTCTATGCTTTAAGACATTATAGTGGTAAATAAGGGAACCACACACGGTTACAGGATGGACACAGGTTTCTTCAGGAAGGAAGAGATTCTTTATTGGATCACCGATCGGGACTCAGAGGGACTAATGTCACCAAAAATACAGCAAGTTCTGAGCCCTGAACAATAGTGCAGGCTCCCTATATAGGCACATAACTCCTCCCATATTAAGCTCCACCCGCACATTCTCTTGACCAATCATTACAAATAAGAATTAACTTCCTGCTTGACCGCATGGCTTGTCCAGCACAATGGAGGAGGGGAATACTACATCCTGTATTCTTGCACATGCTCCGTACACTACTGATCGTATCTTGCCTCGTGCAACCAACTGATCGATACGTCAGCATATGCACGTACACATGCCACGTGGTAATCTCGGCCTACTAAATTTATTTTTACCGAGATTCCACCACATTCCCCCCTTTGATGCCTCTTGATATTTTACAATTACTTGAGGCATCACTTAACCTTGGTTTGCATACACCACAAGTTACCTTTGAACCAGACCAGACTTATCCTACGATGTGAATCTTCAACACTCGTCTTCCTGCATTGGTTCTCCCT